CTAGAGTTCTGGATATGATCAGAGAGCAAATTTTCCACCTTATTTATAATTTTCTCTTCTTTGTTTTCGTCCATCTTTGCTCTTCTTCGCCTCTGATTGGAATTATTTAAAATTGCTGCTGAGATTGCCTTGCAGAGTTTGACTTTCCCAGATCTATTAAAGTGCAATCCATGCCTAGTGTGATCCTTAATATTCAATTTAAAATTGTTAACAGGTATTATGTTGTCATTAGTTGTTGTGAGCTGTTGGATGTGTTTATTAACACTTTTATTGATTCCAATTATGGTCCCGTTCAGTGCTGGCCTGTCAAATCTTTTCGGTATGCCTGGAACTAAGATATTTGTTTTCTTAGAGACCTCATTGATAAAAGTTAAGTCCAAATTCACAGATTGGTTGTTCTTATCTGTAATGTCATTTGTACCACCGACAACCACCACATAATCTTTGGTACTGAAGTCTTTTGACAGTTTCTCAGCATCTGAGGTGATTTCTCTCAGTGGTGCGCTAGGCTTTACTATAGATGTAACACCATAAGCACTACCCAGCTGGTCTTGAAGTAACTCTCCGCACTTGCGTCCATGACTATCAGTCAACAGCAGTACTCTATGCTTTTTCTTATGAGGAACAAATGATTTTTTTGAGAGAGACGTGGGCAGTGCTTCTGATCTAAATGGTAGTTCCGATTTATCCTCACCCACAGTTTTCAGAACGCTAAACCTGTTGGAACACTTAACGGTTTCATTTTGCTTTAGTTTAGTGGCTTTAGGACCTTTATCTACTAATATCCAGTTATTTTTCGGGATTTGGCAGTTGCTTGCTTGTGTACTCAGTGAAACCTTATGTTGTGTCAATAAAGATTTCACCAGCTGTTCAGAAACACTATTTCTGTTTGCCAAAAGATAAGCAATTTGAGATCTTTTTGTAACTAGTTCCACTGCAGTAAAATGTGTAGGAAATTTGAGGTTGGTTAGATTGACTGTTGTATTGCCACCATAAAGTAGATGACCAATGACAAGGTCAGTAATCGCAAGAATGAAAACACCGCAGTCGTAGCTATTTTGTTGTTGGGGTGACTGCTTTACTACTAATAGATCAGCTTTCTCTCCTGGAGTGTGATACAAAAAATTGTAGAACTTATTTGCAAGAGTCTGTGCAGATTTCAGATTATAATTCTTCATAGAGTCATAGTGAAAAACTTGGCATTATTTTTATCAAAAACTAAGAGGCTCCAATGTGATCCACATTTCAATGGTTCTGTTGTTTCATTGTTTGTTATGTCCATTACATCTGTACTATCATTAACAGGAATAAAAATATATTTGGCTTGCTTGATATTCAGTGGTTCCAAAACAAATTGATAATCTTCCAACATTTTTACGGCCTGGCAGATAACAGGGTTTAAGCACATTATTTCATTGCTTTTTATTATACGGTTACTTAACAGTTCATAATACTGTCTAATTACATCGTCAACTATCCAGTTAGGTCCCAATAAGCTCACAACATTTCCAGTGCCTATTTTTTCTTGAGTCTCATTGATGTCAATTTTGTGTTTATCTGTGGTCATATCAGCCACGATTATTGGGGACTGTAGATTTGAGCAAATTATCGGACTGCTCGTTGCTGGCATTGTTGAGAGTGAAAGTGCTGTGGTGTCAAATTCAATATTGCTTCTTTCTAGAGTGGTGTAAGAATTATTTTGATTTTGTGATTTATTGAAACTAGTTTCAATTTCTTTTAGAGCTTGTATGTAATCTTTATTTTTTCTCTTACCAAAGCGTGATTTATTTTCTATAAATAAACAAATGTCAATTTCTTTGACTGTAGCTGTTTCTTTGGTTCCATAAAAGTACACCTCATATTTAGGTAACTTATTGCTGGTATCTATGTTTTTTATCAGAGCAGGCCAGGGTGAATGTCCTCTGACCTTAGCAAATACTTTATCACCTTTATGGAATTTGTGCTCCATTATAATAACTATTGTCCGTGCATTGTTAAATATACCAGTACCCCAAAATATTATAAGTTATATGGTTCAATTCAGTTTTACAATAAGCAAACCAAATATCCATATATTTTAACCATATATTTAGTTCTCTAGAAAATCAAATATTATAACATAAAAGAGACATAATCAATTTACAGAAACGAAGCGCACTTAAAATAGTTGTAGGGTGATAGGGTTATATTTTTATTTTACCAAAGTAAATTATTGTAAATTGTTCCTTTCCTTAAAATTCTGTTAAATAAAAAATAGAGGTCAATAGGTTTACACAGACTCAGGAATATTGCCTGCTAATTGACAAAATATGCCCACTGATAAGAGATAAGACCTTTTAGTTCTGTTTCACTGTTGGCCTAGGCACAATGACCTTGCAGTTTATGTTGATTTCTCTGTCTATCTTTTAGTAAGTTGATAATCTCAGTTACAGTGGTTCACTTAATATTCACTGGAGACAGTTAAGTGCACTTTTTGTTTACAGATGTTATATCATACATGTAGATTATTTACCTAAATTTCATTGTAGGTTATGTGGTGTTATTTGCCTGCTTCTAAAGAAAACTTTTCACTAAAAAATGCAGTCTATCCATTCAATTTGCAATAAATTGGTAAGACTTGATTATACAACACAAATTTTAAAATAAAACCTCTTTAAAACTTAGAAAAATAACAATTTTTAGGATCACAAACAGTCAGTGCTGTATCATGTTAACCTCACTTTTACTCTCCATCTACTCTCTCTCTCTCTTACTCTCCATAGTAGAATGAGCCACTAACAGGATACGCTAGCAATGAAATTATTCTTAACAAAATAGGTTGCTAATAATTAGTAAAACTATTTAATCTAAGAATATTAAATTCCTTAATTACATATCTAGGAATGAAAAGAAAACAATAATATTTCTGTTTGCATCGTTAATAGTCCTAACGATGCAATCACCATCGCGTAACAATATCTAAAAGTCTTCTAAAAATCTAAATAAACAAAATATCCAAACCACAATCTTGCAATGATTATTTCACTAAATTCCCGATTAATTCAACAATATTATTTACAGGCAAATGTTTTAAATAATCCTAGAAACTCGAGGTTAGCGGATTAATATTCAAACAATAATCTGCAGAGATAATCAGTCGTTGATTATTCAACTGGATCTGTCCATGTGATATTAAACTGGGACTTTTATGTCGAAATGTAATTATGATCGAAGCCCCGGGCCGGGCCAGTTATAATTATAAGCTGACCAGTATGATCAACATGCATTAAATAGATTGCTATTGTCGTAATTATTTACTGTGAAGGAATTAAATAATCATTTCATTACTTACTGGGATTGAGTATCGGACATTATGGGTGTTATGTTGCTATTTTTCGCTGGTTTGCTTATGATCACCTCGTTAAAATTTTGATCATTGGTTTAGTTTGAGAGATTAGTCCAACAAATTAAACGAATATAAAACGTTCACAAAGTGAGGTTTTATTTTTATCAGTAATTAGCATTAATATTTTACAAATTATGAAATTGCTATAACATTACGTTTACTTTCTAACACATTTACTGTTTAAACGGGAACTAATGTCTAAGGATTATTGAATTGAACAAACTTTGTTATAAGGCCATTGCATAGCAATTTTATTTGGCTTAATTGATTTTGATTGATTGGTGTAAAATCAAGTTTTATAAATATTTTTTGGGGAAATTTCACAAAATACGGACTCATGCAAAATAATCTTCTCTACTTATAGGATTATGCCGATTTTTTCTGTGTCTATCTACGCCATTTTAATATTTAATTTTCTACCACTGATTATTTAAACATAAGAATTATATCTAAAATTCTACCTAGTTACAGTGTTACTGTATTACGTTTTTCCTAAAGCAATAATTTCATTCTAATCGAAGTAGTAAAACTTCTATTTTACTTCTTAAATTTTAATTTCCCTCATCTTATCTGTGCAACAAATTACTTACTTCTCTAGGAGGTGTTATTCAAAACACGACTCTTTTACGGGTTTCCTTAGAATCTTCCATTGATTATGCAAGGGTTCTTACCGCACTAACATCTACATACAATGTAACAACGGTATCTTTACGAACTAATAAGTTGTTTGAACTTAGTTGCTAAAATTACCGTGAAGAGACTGAAAACATGTGTCAACAAGGGAATTAATTATTTCTTAGAGACGTCGTTGTACAAGGTGTGACTTATCTGAGAAACTATTTTATTGTGATCTTTCTTGAAATTTTATAGTTAACAAAGTACAAGGCCTGCATGAACAAATAAAGAGAGGTGTGGGTGTAACTTAACTAATGTTTAATTTATAAAGACATCCATTATTCTCACTTCTATCTCAGTATGTACTGTAGGCCTAAGTATGAAAAAAACTAAACTAAAATTTATCAAAATGATTCTATTCCAATAGGAACATTATCATAAACACAACCTTCTTTTCCTTCTTAAACGATTTTGATTCAATTTCAACTATCCAAATCTTACATTTCCTTGTCAACGAATGTCTGGCTAGATGAGAAACGATATTGCTCGCCTACTATTCAGAAGTTTGCCAGTTCAATCCTATGAAGTCAGTAGCGTTTTGATGGTTCACAACTGGGCCCAGCTTTCCTTGATCATTCAATGGTTCTAGCTACAGAAACAGCTGATCTTAGTCAATAACAACGTTATAATTTCATTCACTAATCGTTACCTTAATATATGCACTGAGTGTCAGTATCAAATGTATTCTGATTTCCGATGTAATTATATCAAAGTCGAATTGTACTCTATATCCTTGTTAATGTTTTTTTTTCAGTGATCATCTCAAGATCCATATGAAGACTCATGACAATCAAAAGCCATTCCAGTGTACAATCTGTAACAGAGGCTACAATACTGCAGCCGCCCTTACCAGTCATATGCAGGTAATAAAACACTACCTATTGGTAAAAACTAAACTATATTAGATTAAACATTATGCCTTTATAAAATAGTTATTTGTGTAACTAGTGGTGAAAGTGGCACTTTGCTGCACACGAGAGCAATGTTTACGCACGAGCCGCAGGCGAGTGTGGAATGATCTCGAGTGCAGCAAAGGCCTTTTTAACTCGTGTTACACATTATATTTTTCCTACAGTCACTATAAAGCATATAAATAATTAGTCTTTCAAACACTATGCAACACGTTTTTAGGTTCAGCTGGCAACACAAATGGTGCCCTAGAGAAAGTAGTACCCGCGGTCCATATCACTTCGCTATTTTTCCTCGGCAAGAAATGTGCTCCGCGTTTTGAGAATATAGTTCCGTATGTTTTTGTAATTTGAAGTGGTTTCCGCGCCTAAAAAAAATGCTTTAAAGGTATTTTCTTGTTTATTAAGATCGTAGGAAGGTTTTAAAAACGTTTAAAAGAAAAGTACAGAAAGTTCAGAAATACCGAAACTATAAACACGAAATGACAGGTTAAATCGTAGTTATAATAGTCAATCAGCTGCTCATAGTATAATTATCTTTAAGTGTTGCCAACCTATTTCCAAGCGTACACGGATTACGTGCATAATGGAACCACGCTGTTTTGTGTTGTTTCGTTGGAATCCTGATGTGCGGCAAAGTAAAAACCGTATGGCAAAGTATAAACCGTACGGCAAAGTATAAATATGCAGCAATTAGCAGCTTTCTGTACTATAAACAGTACAAGGAAGCCAACTTTGTCGGGTGACTGTAGGAAAAATCTATTTGACAATTGATCAAACATTTCATGTACAGATTCTAGTAATTGGTGCCACAGAATTAAGAAAGAGCCAACTTAGCTCCAATCATTTGTTTGCTTTTTATAACTATTATTTGACTTCTAGTATAAAATAAATTGAGAAAGAAGATGTACGGTAGTGGCAAAAACAGTGTTTTTTTGCGAGTAATGAACATACATGGATGTTTTAAAAATGTATATTCATTTTGTACCTAAATTTAATGCTAAATATCACAAATCATAGAAAATAGGTCAATACTATGAAACACTTAGCCAAAGTTTCCTCTAAAATGCCAAATGTATTAGAATAGACATTATTTTTTTTAAGTTACTAGTTTCAGCCCAGGCATAAATTCTATCTTTGACTTAGAATAGAGCAAATACTTCTCATCATTATGTTAACTCTTACTTAAGTTTGTTTTATGTGTATTTCGTGTTGGTAACATTTAGATTATGCCTAGGCGTTTCTAGTTTATCTGGAGAATTTGCTTACTATTTGTACCTTACATACTATAATTCCAGATTATTTAGATACATTTATTCCTTTCTTTAGTGATAAAATATCGAGTTACAAATAGTGAACAAAAAAGGCCTTCTGCACAAACAGGATGGAACCTAACCGAAACTTGTCTTCAGCTGATTCATAAGGATGACAAAAATATGAGAGTATGTTTAATCTATGAGTATGTATCAAGTCTCATGACTTTTCATAACAGTGACAATTCTTTGGTTCTGTGTAGAATCACAAGAAGTCATGTGACGGATCTTCTCCGTCTCCCTCCTCTACACCAGGCTCTACGTTCAAGTGTCTTCAGTGCGGAGAAGTCTTCCGCAAGCCAGAGGAACTCCAGGTAATTGTGGAGTTTCAGTCATAAAACTACTCCTAGTAACACAGATTCGTTTTTGAACATAGACGCTAGTGATAGCGTTTTTGGCTGATACTCCAGGTATTTCTAGTTCAGGATTGGCTACATGCACTAAGCTAGTATAGCAGTCAGTTTTAACCCTGGCTTGTCCATGTACCATAATGATGCCTTTGGAAATTGCATAAACCAGCCGGTCAAAGGTTCAGATTTAGTTTTTACACTGGGTGTTCAAAAAAGGTGGGGACATAATTTACTAGTGATTCCTTGGGTCAAAATAAGGAGAAAATCAAGAATCAATTTTTTCCAAACTCACTTTCTTAACCTTATCATGTTATCTTTGAACTTTTTCAACCGATCTTTACGAAACTTGGTATGTATGTTAGGTAGAAGAGACTCATTTTAGAAAAAAAAATCATCTTGATTCTTAAAATTAAAATTTCAAAATGGCGGCCATTTTAATTTTCTAAACTTAAATTAGGTACTAAAAAATGGCAGATTTTATGAAAAAATTTCAAGAACACTTTAATTTAGCATTTTTAATTCCTTAAATTTAATTAGCAAATTTAAGTTCAAAATAATCTAATAAGTAATAGCTGAAAATTTTCGATTTTTTATTATAAAATGGTGTAGAATAGTGCATAAGCCAGTCAGGTTTGCCGGACGTTTACCCCATTATTTTTTAATCTAAAACTGGCTACAAATTTTACAAGGAAGTTAATGACATGTCACAGTAAGAAATCAACAGTCACAGATTTAAGTAAGATACACTACCATAACAATTTCTTTACGTAACCTATAATGTGTTCACAGAACCACATGGTGACCCATCACAACGTAGAGGGTGGTGGAGGTACCCCACCTGTACCCCCGTCCCCCCGCCGTACACCACACTACCCCCACAGTCCTCGCTTAGCCTGCATGTACTGTACCAAGGACAACTTCAACACCATGGAGTCGCTACAACTGCATGTTCAAGCTATGCATGGTGAGTGTTCGCTTTGCTTTTGTCTTAACATCTTCGTAAGAGGAATTATTTAACTTGTATATTTTTTAAGTTTGGAATTTGGATAGTTTCATTGAATAAAACCAAATGTGTTTCATGTTATCCCGAGAAGTAAGTCAGTAAATAAATGTAAATTTTCTAAACTCCCCAAATTAAATTTGTTAATTGTATACCGAACACACCACAAACCTCAAAGAATAGTCAAACCCACAGTAGAGCCAACCTTCTTGTAATTTACTGACATTGTAATCAATTTTCGTTTGAGCGGTCGTGCTTTTGTGAAACTCAAGCTAAATAATTATTAATCTTGAGTCCATTATTGTGCATTACACAATTATTGTGTTACAAATGGCTTTTGCTAATATTGTCAGTAAATAAAATGAAACATTTTTCCTAAATTTAGATGGGCTGGGGCTCGAATAACCGCCTCTAGGTATGGTAGATACACACAATTTACAACCAGAATTACTAAAAATAATTTATTATTCAAATAAGTTAAGCTTCTACGGCCACTAATATATCACTAGACCTACACATTTTTCTTCAGGGTCTGACCACGTCACAGGACGAAACTTATTTGACACAGTCAAAGTTTTTAGGTATAACAGGGTTATTTTTGGGCTCGGGCCTAGGGGAGCAAGAGGTTTTGGGTTTGTTTGGTTTTGCAAGGAAGAAAAAAATCATTCACCCCACAAGGTAGGTGGATAGGGGTGCATATTATCTCTTGGGACTTAAGCACATTACTTGCAAACTGTGGGCCTGAGTAATAATTTATGAATTGTTTAGTTTGAAGCAGTTGGTGAGATTACCACGAGAAATGACCTTGTAGTCTACAATCTAAATAGCATTAGCATATTTGACAATTTAAGTGAAATGCTGCAGGAAATTCTAGATATTTTACGTTTGAGTAACGGTCTTTTTAGTTTGACTCAAATCTTATATTGATTTGAAAATATGGAGTTACCTTCATATTTTCTTCCATCAATGTAAAATGTAATCTCTTTTCCTCTCTTTTTTGTTAAACTATTTATTAATATTTAGTTATCTCTCTTGTTCAATGAACCAAACAATCTCTGTCCTTCAGGTTCCATTCTCAACGGAGAGATGCACCGAGAGTTGTCCCTCTTCTCTCCCCAAACTTCACCCTCGCCTAGTCTTCTTTCGCATCCGCTACTTTCTACCCCTCCCTCCCCCACTTTACCATACTCTTGTCAACTATGCACCATGAGGTTCCACTCCATCCCCTCGCTACAGAAGCACGCTCTCACCGTCCACGGGTTCCGCGCCAAAGAGAGTTCATTGTTCTGCGTCCAGTGCAACCTCCAGTTTCCGACACCAGCGTTGTTTGCCGAACATTACGTTCTGTTCCACGGGACAGCCATGGGGCTGTTTGCTCAATCAGTGGAACAGATGAAACCAACGGACCTGTCTTTGACAAAGAAGACTTCTAGACACTCAGAAGAGAGGCCAAGCAAAAGACTGAGATCCGAAAATGGGATTTCCAATGGGATAGATGCCAGAAGAACACCCAGTGGGGTAAGTTGAGATGTGAAATAAATTAAATATCAGTGACGAAATTTTGAATATATTGTTGATTTTTGTATATACAGGTGAAGTCCTAACTTTACCTGCCTGGGTAAAAACATTTTCATTTAATTTATTTTTCATTTTAAGTTGCGGTCTTTCCTTTATCAAACATTTTAGCTGCCCCTAAATTTATTTTACAATTATATATTATTTTTCTTAACTTTTTTTCCTCTTCACTTATAAAGGGATATCTTTGATAATGATACCTGTAAGCATCACAAAATCGACCGTTGACATTAATACAAACCTATCTTTTAAACTCCTTTGACAAATTTATTAATTTGTCACTACTCATAACTTATAAAGACATGAGGTACACCTTCAACTCTTAATATTATTTAATTTGCTTCCAGATCCATAACCAGTACGACCATCCAGGCAGCCTGTTGTGTAATCAATGCAATGCAGCCTTGCCAGACTTTGAGGCATTCCGCAGTCATATCAAGTCACATATAGACGAGGCAGGGGGTCTGCTAGGTGGTGGGGAGCCCCGTAAAGCCCCACCTGTAGTCTGTCCCCACTGCGGGGCCCAGCTAGCCTCTCAGGTATTGTTATCTGTTTACTAAGAACACATTTATAAAAATAGTTTCCTATATTATTTCAACAAGAAGTTTTAAGACACGACATAAGCATTACAGCACATGTACAAAAGGATAGAGTTCAACCAGCTTACCTGAAAAAGTCTTAGAAAAAAGCTTAGCAAATTTAAGTTCATAAGTTAATCCAATAGTCCTTACACAGCAAAAGCACTTTTTCTTCAATCTATTTCTTGAGGCACCCTGTAATAGGATCAAATATCAATATGCCTTAATCCCTTAAACTATCGTCAATTCTAAAAAACCTCCATCTGTAAACCTTTTTTTTCTCACAGGAGGAACTCCCTCAACATTTGACCAGTCACTTTCTCGCGACGGCAACTGAGTACGGATGCCAGAGCTGCATGAAACTTTTCACTAAGCCAGACGAACTACAGAAACATCTGATGGACATTCATGCTCACCATCTATACAGATGTGCCCTCTGCAAAGAGATGTTTGACTCTAAAGTGGCAATACAGGTAACATATTTTGTACTAACCTTTGATTACAAAATAAGGACCTTTGTGTTTTGGATAAGGAAGCAATGTTGTGGTTGCCGCCAATTTATCTTATACTTTATTTTAATCATTACAGTTCATTCTTTGACTTTATTAGATCCCATTCCCCCCAGGTCTTTAGACCTGATCATGCCCATCTCATGTAAAAATGATCAACGGCAATAAATATCTTATGTCTTTTGTCTTATGTCTTACTCATAGGTCAGCTTCATTCTTTCCAAGCACAGGTTGAATACCCTTGTGGACTGATTGCTGAAAAACTGAGTAGGCTACTTACTATATGTACATTTTTTATAAATCCCTCTTCTCTGGGTGGTATGAGCCAGAGCTTTGACTCTTAACTGGATACTTGTGTATTTGTCATCCAACTTTGATAAATAAACAGAAACGTTTAAGAAATCAAAAGTACACGAGTCGCTCTCAGATTGTGCTACTATCAAGGCTCTATTTTCTCAGTTTGACCAAAATTTTGGAAGTAGAAAAGTTAAGTTTAATCTTGGATATGGTGTTCTTTAAACTTGTGAAAATACCCGCTGTTATTTTGGATGTTTTCCAGAAAGGGGGAAAAGCTACAGACAGTTTCAATTAAACTCATCAGTTATACGAGATAGTTCTATCAAAGACCAAAATTTGTCAGTTTACTTTTCTGTAGAAGCCTGCCATCTAGTTTGATGAGAAATGGCATTTGAAAGCAGCATAAACTATTCAAGGCTCAATCAATATTTATTTGTATTTTAAAATGTAACTTTAAATGAGATGTTTAAAACACGTATTCATAAACTGCTAATACTGTTTATTATAAACTATTATATAGTTCACGACTTTCATTTAACAGGTCCACTTTGCCGTGAAGCACAGTAACGAGTCCAAGCTATTTCGATGTACAGCTTGTCCTTCAGTTGCTGTTTACCGCTCGGAGATGGACTTTACACTTCACGTCAGGACGATGCACACGCCACAACATCTTGCATCTCCAAAACCTCCAATAGTGCAGGTGTGTAGCATATCTGCAACAATTTTGCATTATTAAGCATAGGAAATGAGTGCAGTAGATTTCCACTCTTTCGCACACTTTGGGAACATACACTTGTCTAGACCATCAGAAGAAAAAAAATTAATAGATACATCTCAAAGTGTGAAGTTCTAAAGAATTACTAGTGTAGAGTGGAGTGAGATGATCTGTGTGGCTTTATTACTGATTACAAGCAGCAGTTATATAAGCTAGGATCATTCAAGGCCCATTGATCAAGGACAGCGGTTTAGTTTTGAACCATCAAAAAGCTTCTGACTTTTCTCAGGATGAAACCAGTGACATTCTGATTATTAGTCCGGCAGTATAACGACTCAGCATTAACAAAATGTTTTGTGTTTGTTGACAGGCTGGTATGTTCCGTTGTCTGTTCTGTCATCTCAGTTTCCCCTCTGAACTAGAGATGCAGCTCCATCTGCCTGTACACACCAAGCAATTCCATTGTCACCTCTGTCAAGAATCTTTCCCAGTCGAGTTCCTTCTGGACAAACATCTTCAGACTCATCATTCAGCACAGGTTAGCAAATTGTATTTATATGCAAGGTCCTCAAAAACTCTGGGTACAAAATTTTTTTAATCACTGCAGATAATGCAACAAAGCTTTGTAAATAAGTGCTTCACTTCACCTAAATTCTACTATTAGAAATATGACTTTTTCAATCAACTTAGGTTCACAAGGAGCCACAAGGAAATCTTCAATGAGAACATAGGTACACAATAGTCGCAGTTTCGAATTACAAGGATTAGTAACAAGCTTGAACTTGTTGACAAAAGCTAAGTAGCTAAGTAATATATTTGTATTTGTTTGAATACATAATTTTAACTTATAATTTGTTTAGGTTCTGAATGGAGCAGAAGAGGTTGATCACAAGCCTAGCAAGGGAGTGAAGACTTCTCCATCCAGCCATCCCTCGTCGAATGGTAACATTTCCGATAACAAGAAGCAGGACTCGGTGAATAACAACATTGTCGTGAGCAGCTGTGAGATCTGTGAAAGAAGTGACTTTAGCTCAGAAGCGGAGTTGGCAGCTCATCGTAAACTCGTACATCACGTAAAGAGCTCCTCCTCTTCTGGCAAGGTAAAAGAAGTAGGAATTCGTAAATATAATAATGTGTATATGCTAGAGGAAACACTTTTTAAGGATTGCTCTTAAGACCACTACTACAGTGAACTTGCATGGTTTTTTAAGTTTAAAAGTAGCTCACGAAAAGCTCTAAACAAAAAGTGACCATGTTTGTCTTTGCCAACTGGCCTGTATTTGATTGATTGAATCGTGGCAGACCTTATCCCAGTGCACACACCTTTTTATGCTTCATAACATCCTCTTTGTCCACAGCTAAGTCTACATTGTGCCTACTGCAGTGAGAGTTGCAAGTCCCGTTCTGATCTGGAGAACCACATGAAGAGTCACTCACAAGGATGTGTGACTCAAGGAAAACACAAATGTAACATTTGTGACGAGATGTGCTCTTCTGCCGCTGTACTTGCAGAGCACAAACTGACTCACTGTAAGGTGGGTATTATTGAGGAGTTGGAGGAGTTGCAAGCTTTAAGATACGTGTTTTGTGTTGTTGTTTGATATAAGTGAACTAAAATCTGAACAAAGTTTATAAAGATAAAATACTCGATAATTAGCTTTATGATAATGAACCATAAAGTGCATACTCAGTCAGTACGTACTCACTAAAGCAGATATTAATTTTATTGACAAAATTAATTCATTCAGATGATTTCATAGTGACATCCTCCATCTGAATTGAAGGGGCCATTTTTCAGAGGGATTATAAATAATCTCTTCTAATCCATCTGATCACATATTTTGTGTACCCAAAATAGATTGTACACAATATGGAATATTGTTTGGGTGTTTTACTTTATTTCACACTATAACAATAATTTAACTACCTTTGTTATATTAGAGATCAGTTAGTACACATCCTGGTTTTTGTTGATCTAATGTTGACCATTATTTGGATGGCATTATTGATTGATTGACAAAAGCAACTGGGTTTTAAGTTGACCCATTTCATTTTTGGATACACATAAAACTATATCTTAGGTTTTCGTTTATTCCTTATTAAACTCTGCGATTTTTAATATTCATCAGCCCAAAATTTGTGAGTACCGGTATCTATGTAGCAAAAAGTCTAACAATTTGTTTTGGTTGGTGGTATTTTTTAAATTCAAACCTCATAACTAGTATAGAGTTCACTTTTGAGAATAAATTTACAGTACGGTACCTATTCAAGATTTAAGAAAATTAGTTAATCTCACAAATTAATGGTTCTCTCATTAACAGGTGATAAACGGTACGTCCTGCACACAATGCAAAGCGTCCATCACCAACGAAGACTTGTTTTACCAACATTTGCGACAACACAGTAACATATCTCCGTCCAGCAACGGAAGTCCAACCAACCAACTGGTGTTGCCGACAGCGTGCGTCATCTGCCGACAGACACTGGTGTCCGACATGGAGGCAAGGATACACGCCCGGTTCCATCTCAACCAATCAGACGCATCACAGTGTTCCGTGTGTCTGCACGCCAATGATCGTAGAGACCTGGTCGGTGGTATTTGCAAGGACTGTTACCATCGACATGGAAAGACCTCACCTACAAGGTGTACGGAATGTCAGCTGAAGTTTGAGACAGTGCCTGCTCTTGAGGCTCATATGGCTGCCGTTCATAGAAAGACTTATCAGTGCATCAAGTGTCAGGTTGGTTAACGTTTGACATACTGTTTTTTATTGCTGTTGTTATATCGTGTAAGAGTATGAGATAGATAAAGTTGTACATTTTAGGTATCAATAATTTTTTTCTCTGTGATTGATTTTCTAAAAATTTCAAGCTTTTGTATAGTAACAATTGTCCTTGTCCCATAAAAGAAAGCATTATAGTGGTTTTTGTAAAATATTTTTTTACTATTCCCGTATTTCTGGCGTTGTTATTGTTAAGAATACCAGAATACTCATCATTATGGTTCTTTTTTACCCATTTACTTGAGAGGTTTGATTTACAGTAAGGATAGCACACTACTAAAGTAGGTTGTACACAAATGTGTTAAGTTTTGTTTCATCAAATCTCGAGTAGATTGTACAAGTTCACTTCCTTTCTTGCGATTCGAATATGTCTCAAACTAAAACATCTATCACATCGCAGGTGAGTTTTGAGACGGAAAAAGAGATTCAGCAGCACGTTGCAACCCACCTTATGTCCGAAGGAGGCTCGGGATTGGAGTGTCGACTCTGCATGAGAGTGCTCGGTTCGCCCTTGCAGCTGCAAACTCATCTGATAGAACACACCTTTGCAGGCTGTCCAACCTTTACCTGTTATATATGTAAGAGCTCGCTATACTATACATTAGCTACATTCTGATAGGGATATTGGTACGAGAGGTAAATGGAAGACCTCTCTCTCAGATCTTTCAGTTGGGTAAAGGGGTTGCTTGTGAGCTTGCATGATAATCAGAAGAGGTGGAGAAAAGTCAGTCGCTTTTGCATGGATTAGAACTGGACCTAGACGTCCTTAACTATTTGGCTTTTGACTGGATCACTGGATGAGAAACAGCTGGTCCCAGTAACAAAGCTACCAAAGGCATCTCACTACATACACTATTTTCACTTCAGGTTTTAAAATACATGGAATTGTCATTTCTCAAAAGTGATGACGGTCATTGTCATTACTGTACAAAGAGTGTAAGTTTTGTTGAATAAGATTCAATTAAACAGTAGAAGTTTTCCTCTGAGTGATGAAAACAACTGATTAAAATATCTAGTTATTTAGAGTAAATAAAAACTTAAGTACTTTCTTAAGTACCTACAGTGTTAATTATTTAAAGTATTCCCCATTAAGAGCTGAAAGTTGTCCTGAGGAAAAGCTAAATCATTGCTAGTTTGATGGTATCAAAGAGTACCAAGAAGTGTAATTTATTGTTGTGAATGCTTGTGAGGATACTGCAAATGAAGCATCATCTGTCTAAGTCTGAAGGTACTAAGTCTAAGTATTTATCATAAGTACGTAACAATTTTGTTGTAAGGTTGAAGACATGTTCTGTCTGTTTCCCTCACCAGGTAGTGCTGTGTTCACGGCTGCCCATGGACTGCAGGCTCACATGTTAGAGCACGGCTTGGCCGCACGACCTTACGATTGTCCCAGCTGTTCACAAAGGTTCTTCTTCCGAGCAGAGCTTGACAACCACAGCTTCGTCCATTTGGATGAGGAAAACAGAGAGGACCGACAAAAGGTAGGCTTTACAATTTATTATTAATACATATTTTTTTCAGATCATCAAATAAGAAAGTAAACATTAAGAGACTCTTTATTATCATCTTTATCACCCTCAGTAGTTGCATTTTAGGGGCATGGCCTGGGGGAAGGTGGTGATGATGGGCGGGTAGCGTGGGATCATTATAGGTGCCATTCTAAAAGCATAAATACTTGACAACTAAAACGACATGTAATTGACTCATCTGCCGCCTGAGTTATGTTTTGTAAAAGGCTAGTAGGGCAGTAGCCCTCGACAAATCATGTTAATTTCGTCCTCCGTTCAGACACAGTTTTTCAACAGATTTTCTTGAAACTTAACAATGTAGTTGAATAATGAAATTAGAGCTCTTATACCCCAAAAAATTCAAAATGAAAAAGAATGCGGGGAGGGGTATACTCGTAAGGTCTAATAAAAGTATAAATGTAATGATTTATACTACAGAACTATATAACTTCAATAGGATTCAGCCTAAGTTAAAAAGAAGCCATTTCATTTTCATGTACAACACTGACATTTTATTAACAAAATAAATGTAATCATAACAAATATATACTTTTCCTTTAGTTAAAATATACCTCTGTATCTCAGCCCTAAATACCTAATTATTTAATTGAAACAGTCTTACTTTATGATGGCCTTCCGTAGAGCTCTATTTTAATACAGGAACTCGTCTGTAAAAAAAATATACAAATGCATAAATATTACTAATATAACTATTCTAAATATAAATTTCAATTTCCATTTTCTTTCGTACAATGTGCTTTTTGCAAGTTAACATACTTATAACCTAATTTAACATATTTTAGAATTTGAGGTTAACCAACAGTGAATATTATTTTCCCATATCCATGTTCAATTGTATTTTTAATACAAGTTTTTTAATTTCAGATTTTACTTTCCTAGATTATAATGGATAATAATATTTTGTACTTACAATGTCTACGAGATTTGCCTGCCATGAGATACAGAATTATGAATGAAATCAAACTTAGTGAGGGAAATGAAAAAAGAAACAATGTTACCACTACAAACAATTAAAATAAATCAACTTTGCTTCTTACATACTATAACTAAATTTGCTGGATTTTTTTTTTTTAACAAACAATATAAGAATCAGTATAAATTTTCTGCCACTTCAAAATAAAAAAAATCATAGTGAATTTAGTTCAATTTTTTTTTTTTATAACAAACAACAATGATATTTACAAGATTCAATACTATGAAATACACAACAATGAAATAGAATAGCTCGGTTCAATACAATATCCGGTTAGTTTAGATAACCTAATGTATTACAAATAGTTTGTCACTAGAATGCGCGGGCCTTCAGTTTTGTTGCTTTTCAAGTTATATAAATCCAAATTAAAATTGAATTAAAACATTTCTTTTAACTAAACATTTTTCTTTGTTATTTCATCAACTACCCTTTTAAAATTACATATAAATAAATACAAATCCATTTATTTGATTTAAACAAAACTTTCCTATATCCCTTTTTAAAACAAGACGGATTATTTAGCAAACTATGCCCAAAAGGAAGAATGATAATGATCACGAATACCAAAGATAAGATAAAACTACTTTCAACTGCATTCATTTTAAAATCCTGTTTGTTCAGTTAGTTTGAAACAAGTTGAAGTGCGTGCGTTTTAGTGTGATGTGTCGTGTTTTAGTTATAAGTTTAGTGTATTTAGTGCGCGTTAAAGTTTGTGTTTTGTATGGCCTGTCGTAAAAGTGTATAAGTAACATTTTAGTGTCAAGTGTTCAGAGTCATGTATCCTTATTTGCTAATTTTAGTCAAAACTTTCACACACATTCTCACCCATTTGATCAATCCATTTGCTCACATTTACACTCACATTTGAACTATACATTTACCCACTCATTTATTCATCCTGATTCACTATTTTAAATGAATGCGCTATATTTATTTACATTTAATTTTATTTAATTATTGAAATTTTGGTTTTCTTTCGCCATTGTTTGCTAAAATAATTCGCTTTTCCTTCTGTATACCTCCTTAATAAAAATATACATTCCCTGACATTACTCTAAAAAAGTAATACAATCTTCTGAAGTAGTTTCAGTCCTCTCCAGTCGGGTGTAAGCATCGGGTTTGAATCAAATTCATTTGTCTTATGCTAGTTTGAGGTCCACAATGTGTACTTTCTTCACGTCTTGATAATTATTCACGTTCTGTATCAAAACTGTTACGTCCGTGATGAAATACAATATCCTATATGGTCCAGAATATTTGATAGCAAGCTTCTTAGAAAAGTTTTTCACTTTGTTGCTCAAATAGTGAGTGCGGACATAAACAATAGAATTGACAGTGAATGGCGATCTTGGATTTCTGTATTTCGCACGTTCTTGGTTTTTCTTAATGCTTCTCTTGATGTTGTTTATAGCTTTGGTTAAATTTTCTTTCTTCTCATCTTCAGTTAGCTTTGTTGAAATTAAATCCTGTATATTCCAAACATTTGATAGTGCGTTATTACATTCATGATAAAACATCATTTGGAAGGCTGTTTGACCTGTAGACGAATTTACAGCTGTGTTTAAACTAAGTTGGACCAAACCTAAATTTTCATCCCAATTAGATTGATTGTTGTGGTAAAAACATCGCAATAGTGTAGACACATCTCTGATAAATCTCTCAGCTCGATTTCCGTTTGCACGATAGATTGCTATACGACGGTGCTCGATGAAATGTTTAAACAAATAGGCCTTGAATTCCTTGGATATGAAATATGAAGCGTTATCAGACACTAATATCCTCGGAGTTGAAAAATTCACGAAGGTTTGCTGAAGTTTTGCAATTATCAATCTTGAATTACAGTCCTTAAGAGCGTGAAGCCATAAATATCTAGTGAATGCATCGACTATCACTAGAATATATTTATTTTGCCCCTTTGATCTCGGCAATGGTCCTAAAATATCAATAAAAACTGTATTCATGGTTTGTTCAACTGGAATTGAAATTAGTTTACCCTCATATTTTCTTTGTGTGGTCTTCGACATAGCACATATTTTACATTGTTTTATCTTCTGTTTCACAGTTTCGTTTAATATCGGATTGTAAAAATACTCATTTATTTTTCCTTGGGTCCTAGAGATTCCCAAATGACCTCCGATCATTGTGTTGTGGTAAAATGTAAAAACCAAATTTATTAAGTTATCTGGTAGATAAATTTTACTTTTTCCAGATTGATTTTTGTACATTAAAACGTCATTTTTCAGGTAGTAACACTCTTGATTTGTATTATTTTGTACGCTTTTAATTATCTCTGCACATTTGGAGTCATTTCCTTGGTGATACTTCAAGTCATTTAATGCCATGGGTATCTCTTGAATTAGATTACAAAAATGTATATCTTCTCGTTTGTTTCTCATCATTTTCTTATTACTACTATTTACATGATTTATTTTATTTACCTTTCTCTTCTTGTTCCTCATTTCTTCCCTAACAATATTTACAGATTTATTTATATTCTTCAACGTAGAGTCCACTTCTGTTGTGATGTCTTCGTCATGCTTGATGTCTTCTTCATCAAAAAGTCTGGATAAAGTATCCGCTAAGATATTTTCACTTCCCTTTTTATGTTCGACAGTGAACGGGAGGTTTAACAGGCGTTCTACCCACCTTGATAATCTTCCCAGTTTCCTGCGAGTGTTTAGAACGTAGCTGAGAGCTTGATTATCCGTTATCAATTTAAAGGGCTGTACTTCCAAAAATTCATGCCATTTTTCGATGCATAATATGACACTGTAGGCTTCTTTCTCATACACACTGTATTTGAGCTCGTTATCATTGAACTTTTTGGAATAGTAGGCAATTGGTAGTAGATCTTGATTTTCATTTTCTTGCAATAAAACACCTCCTGCCGCTATTTGCGATGCATCCGTTTGTAAAACAAATGGTTTTGAAAAATCAGCTAACTGCAAAATTGGGGGGTTTGAAATTTTCTCCCTCAACGTATCAAAGGCAATTTTACACTTTTGGGACCAAATGAATTTATTTCCTTTCTGTTTCAAACTGTGTAAAGGTGCACATATATCGGCATAGTTAGGGATATATTTAGCCCAATAAGAACACATGCCTGTAAATTGCCTCACTTGTCTTACATTTTTGGGTTCGGGAAACTTCTGAATGGCAGTTGTACGTTCTGGGTCGATTCTTACAGTGTTGTCTTTAATTAAGTGTCCTAAGAAGCTGATTTCCCGGCAAAAAAATTTTGCTTTGTCAACGTTCACTGTTAGTTTGTGTTTGGCAAGTCTGTCAATGACCTCCTTAACGTGTGACATATGCAAAGACTTGTTAGTGCTGTAAACAACTATGTCGTCACAGAAATTGACCATGTATTTAAACTTTATATCCTGAAAAACTTTATCTAAGTAGCTGGATAGAACTGAGCTTCCAACCTGGAGTCCAAAACAAACACGTTTCATGCGATATTTCCCAAAAATTGTAGAAAAAGATGTGATGTCTCTAGAATTTTCCGCTAAAGGACATTGAAGGAAAGCCTTATTTAAGTCGATTACTGTAAAGTAACTAGCCCCTTGTAGATGATGATACATATTTTGGAGGTCACCAATTGGATAGTTCATTTTCACTAATTTCTTATTCAACTCTGAATAGTTGACTACCAATCTATCTTTTGCTGTTAAAAATGCTGGGCTGCTATATTCGCTAGTGGATGGTTCTATTATACCTTGGGCTAACCAATCGTCTACTATGGCTTTCATTTTGTTCAAAGTGGGCGGACTTAGAAAATAAGGGCGAATACATATAGGTTTATCATCAGTAAGCTTTAGTTCTACTTGTAGGTCAAGTGCCTCACCAATCTTATCAGTAAATACATTGGGATAGGATTTTACTAGTTCTTCTATTTCTGTGGTCATCTCTGGAGTTCCGATATGAATATTATTTATTGCTAATTTCTGCCAATTTTCATCACCACACAACTTTATTTTGTCTGACGGTGCGAATTTAAAATAACAGCTGTTGTCATTTAAATCGATAATTAGGCCTTTGTTCCGAATGAATGGAGCTCCCACTATCATGTGATAATAGTTTTGTTTTATCACCAAAAATTTTTCATACCAGGAATACTTGCTTATCTTGATTTTTATCTTACATTCATTTATGATGTCCAACGGTTCTTCATTTGCAGCTAACATTATATCAGTCCATTTCTTAGTTCCTCTAATTTTATTTACTGCGTTTAGTTTGTCATAAAGCTCTTTACTTATAAAGTTTCTACTGGCTCCAGTATCGAGTAGAGATTTTACATGTATATTCCCAGTTAATTTTATTTGCATGCATGGTAAAGAATGTATTGTTTTACCTTTGGTTTTAGTTATGCTAGGTTTCTTTAACTTGTTGTGCTCTTTAACTAGTTGTCTTAATTCATTTTTGAATGCGAAACTATGATTTGTATTATCATTAACATTTTGTTTTCTGCGAGGATAAGATACGTGAAGTTCGGTTCTTACACCTCCCAAGTTTATGAGTTTTTTGGTTTTCTGAAGCACTGTCTTGCTGTATGACCTGGTCTAGCACAGTTATAACAAACCCTGTCTCGTGGATATGAGGTCCCTCTTGACGTTTGCCCATTACCATGATTTCCCTGACTTTCAATTGACCTATTATGCATATGTCCTGATGATGTATTTGACGTTGTAGGAAACATATTGTGTCTGACATAATCATTAAAATTAACGTTGTTTAGGTTTATGCACAGTTGGTCTAGGTCTCTGAAGGTTATCGGATTTTTTTCAAACACTAATTTATTTCTGATTTCCGGATGGATGCCATTTTTGATGAAACAAACCAATTCTTCTTCAGTGAGATTTCCCTTCAATACTTGATGATTTGTCTTGACCTCATTTATGTAGATTGACAACGGTTCATTTGTTTTTTGCGGTCTAAAGATAAGTTCTTGTTTCAGTTTCTCCTTCAGTGTTATTGGTATGAAAGTATTTATGATATCTGTGTGTAGTTGATCTATCGATTGATTTGTGTTCCTGTGTTCTAATATTTTATTCGTGAGTGGTTGAGAAGTATATGTAGGCAAGATTTCAAACAGTTGGTGTGAAGTAAGATTGGTCTCGATGGTGATGGTTATTAGGTTTCTTAAAAAGTCCAGCAGAGGATAGATTTCTAGTCCATTACAGATCCTGAATTTTTGGAGATAATTTTCTAACGGATTCTTAATTTTTCCGAATACATTTACATTTTCAATCTCTTGAGAGGGGCCTGCTAGTGGTTGTACTTGTGGACCAAGGCGATTGTTAAATGGAATTTCTATAGGCTTGAAATCTTGAACGACTTCCAGTGTCTGCGTGTTATGTTGGGTAGGGGTAGAAGAAGTTTGTCTATCGTGAACAACATGCTTATTTATCTCTGAGTCGATTTCCTCTTCGTCCAAAATAGATGTGTTTAACCTTTCTTCAAATTCCGCCAACTCCTCCTGAGGGATGTCATTTAGGATAGCTTCAAATTGCGACGTGGATTTTTGCAATTTATCCACATATTCAGTAAGTCTATTCGTAAAAGATTCTTCTAATTTACACAGTTTCATATGTGAAATTCTTAAGGCTAAATGGGCTAGCTTAGCCTTGATTTTGGCTACTAATAAGTTGCTATTAGCTTCCTTGCACTGACCTATTAGTTCCTCTGCGTTATATAATTTGTTTTCTATCGTGTCAAATTCATCTTTAAGTATAATTTTCCCTTTCAAATTAATGACATTTGTTGGAACGTCTTGACATAACCTTAATTGCCTCCTTAAACTCTGAACATCATTGTTGATAATATCTTGTCCTCTTGATAAGAGCTCATATGTTAGCTCTTCTTTGATAAGGTAATTCAAGTTAAATTTAGACATGTTTATGAAATTATCTTGCTATAGATTCATGCTCATTTAGTAATTAGGCTGTAATGTAACATTTCACTCTAGGCTAGTAAAAATTAGGCTTGGTTAAAACTTTAAAAGTAGGCTATAGTGATTTCCTGATTTTTTGTTATATTTTGTTGTTCTGTATAGCAGAGTGGCGCATATATTTATACTCGTAAGGTCCAATAAAAGTATAAATGTAATGATTTATACTACAGAACTATATAACTTCAATAGGATTCAGCCTAAGTTAAAAAGAAGCCATTTCATTTTCATGTACAACACTGACATTTTATTAACAAAATAAATGTAATCATAACAAATATATACTTTTCCTTTAGTTAAATTATACCTCTGTATCTCAGCCCTAAATACCTAATTATTTAATTGAAACAGTCTTACTTTATGATGGCCTTCCGTAGAGCTCTATTTTAATACAGGAACTCGTCTGTAAAAAAAATATACAAATGCATAAATATTACTAATATAACTATTCTAAATATAAATTTCAATTTCCATTTTCTTTCGTACAATGTGCTTTTTGCAAGTTAACATACTTATAACCTAATTTAACATATTTTAGAATTTGAGGTTAACCAACAGTGAATATTATTTTCCCATATCCATGTTCAATTGTATTTTTAAGACAAGTTTTTTAATTTCAGATTTTACTTTCCTAGATTATAATGGATAATAATATTTTGTACTTACAATGTCTACGAGATTTGCCTGCCATGAGATACAGAATTATGAATGAAATCAAACTTAGTGAGGGAAATGAAAAAAGAAACAATGTTACCACTACAAACAATTAAAATAAATCAACTTTGCTTCTTACATACTATAACTAAATTTGCTGGATTTTTTTTTTTTAACAAACAATATAAGAATCAGTATAGGGGCAAGGCCCCACTAGAAAAAGAGGCCATGCTGCATCGCAACACTACTTCACTGTGGAGTGGTGGATAGTTGTTTGTACAGTAGAGAGTCAAAAATCTGAATGTCAAAAAACTGAAATGTCAAAAATCCTAACCGCTCCTTAGGGCTTTAAAATTGTGAATTAGCACAGAGACAGGGAAATGGCGCCTGGCAGGGAAATGAGTGAACGAACCGAGCCAGTCTTTGTTTTGTTCGTTTCCAATGTATAAACTCCACATATATTTTCAAGAAACGAATACAGTATAATGTATCAAAAACAATACTTTCTCCATATACTATGGTATAGGGGGAGAAAGTAAAAATACCTAAAGTAAAATAAAATACCTATAAGTAAAGTACAAAAATCAAAGCATTATTTTTATTTCATTCACTGTATCCTAGAATTGTATGTTTAATACTGTAGGCATAATCATGTGTCTATTAGGCATTACTTGGCTGTTTGAAAATCCGAACAAATCAGTAATCTCAACTACCTGCGCTCCCAAATGGTTCGGATTGTTGACTCTCCACTGTACTAAAATCTTACCTTTAAATCAGACAAACAGCCAGCTTATTTACCTAAAACATATGGGATATAGCATTGAATCTACCAAAGAATCTATCCACTATTGTTATGTCATGGATCCTGCAGCATGACCTGTTTTCTAATGGGGCCTTAATAGGGGCTAGGTACAGGTTACCCTCTGGTTTTTTGTAAGAATATTTTTAATCACAAAAGTTATGCTTGAGTCATACCACGAATGTGTCACCATTCTGAAAATGTTCTGCTTATTTAAGACTGGTACCTATTATTTTATTTAAGCAATATTTAAAAAACTTAATAGTAAGATTATAAAACTTTGAAACTGTCTAAATCTTTAAACCCTCAGGGCCTCAGACACAGGGAGATAAAAAAATTTAATTATTTCATCCCTAATGTTTGTTTCAGGGTCCTCCCTACTTTCCGTTCAGAACAAAAATGGAATCAGCCAATTCTTCACCACAATCATCAGAGAGTCCAAAAGATGTTTCAACTGAGGAAAGAAGACCAAAGACCGCTGAATACAAGTGTAAAATTTGTAACAAGGAATTTGACAATGCTGTTTCCCTGGAGGCTCACAACCAGCAACATCACGATTCCGAGAAAGAAATACTGGAGGAGGAGAGGAATATAAAGAAAGAGATCAAAGAAGAACAGGTTGAAGAAGAGGAAGAGGAAGAACAGATAGATGTTGGCGATCATCACAGTGAAGACACAGCGAGATCTGAATGTTCCGTAGCCTCTGAAACCCTTCATGAACAGTCTAACAGCTCGTAAATATGTAAATGTATGAAAAAAACATTTTGTTTGTCAAGGCCAAACTGAAAAAAAAACTGTTATCAATATATATTGCATTTATATACTGGTGGAATGTAATAAATCTTTTGTACATAAGTTTTTAATCAATGTTTTAAAGTATTTTTAGAGTATCTGTGATAGTAAACTTTATCTGGCTGTATGTAATTTTGCATCTTTTGATCCTAATCAAAGCCTTATTGATTATTTATTGTTCCAATCAATCCTGGTATCATTGTACAGTTGCTATAGTAATTGTAAATATTTTAGAGGCTCACTTTTGTTTAATTCAACTGGTTCTTGTGCTGTTAAACTCGTTATAGTTGGTATTGTTTGTATTTTTATTGTTAACATTTATTTAATACAAGCTTTGTAATTTTGTTACTCAAGTTGTTATGGGAAGAGTTATTCCATGTAATCGTTTGCTTGGTTCAGGAAGTTTTCCTGGTAAATGGGAATTAATTTCGGTTTTTTTTTGGGTGATACAGTGATGTTTTAAGGTTATGATTAAAAACTGTAATAGTACAACTTAAGATGATAATACTCTGTATTTATTTTGATTTTACTCTGTATTCCAGAAGGACAAAAGTTTTGAGGACTTTGTTTTGCTCACATATCTTCAAAAGCTTCAACAAATTGAAACTTACAATCACTGACAACTCAATCTTTTGAAGTTTTGTTGATTTATTCCTATGAATCACGGTATGAAAATATAAGAATGTTTTGCGGTATACATTTTTACTTTGTTATATATTATTAGATGTATTGCATTTATTTTTGTTATGTTTTTTATAAACCAAAGTATATTGTACAGTAAAATACAGCTCTCTACTTCCAAAGGAAATTTCATTAAACTAACCTACCATTCCTCACTATAGAATAGGGGATGTGTAAAAGTTGTATGACATAATAATACTGTTATCTCTGTGTGTGTTTTTTTAAAATACTAATCTAAAATAATAGGGATTTTTGAGTTTGGTAAGGAAAAGTAAAATAAAACTTTATGAGAAGAAGAGAGGGGGGGGGGGGTGAGGAGGTAGGCCTATTTACTTGTTAGTCTTACCTTATCCATCTTACCTTCTACAAAAGTGTAAGGTATGCTTTTTCAGTAGGAAGTAAGAGAAAAAGTTAAAGAAAAAAAATTGTCAAAAATTTTGATGTTTTTCCCCCACCCTCTTTTTTTACAGGGTCCTCGAGGTCCAAAACTTGGGAAAATGTTGATTTATCATCCCTGAACAACATCCCCAAGTTTCATTAACTCCCGACCTTTTTCCATCTAACACCTCTTAATTCTACCTGCCGACTGGACTATTCGACAATTGATATCTATGGGATATATTGGAAGTGAAGTATTGGAATGATAAATTAGATTAACATGGCTACATTGTGATAAGAGACCCAGTGTGGGCTTGTGGGAAGAAAAATTATAATGTTAGCATTGTGATATGACCCATTGAGTTTGTGGGAAGATAATTTACCACTGTGATGAGATAGTGGGAAGATAAATTACCATGGGAACATGTGATAAGAGGTAGTGGGTTTGTGGGAAAGGGAAGATAACAAATTGCAATGGAGAACATGTGATAAGAGATAGTGGGTTTGTGGGAAGATAAATTAACATGGGAACATGTGATAAGAGATAGTGGGTTTGTGGGAAGATAAATTATCATGGGAACATGTGATAAGAGACAGTGGGTTTGTGGGAAGATAAATTATCATGGGAACATGTGATAAGAGACAGTGGGTTTGTGGGAAGATAAATTATCATGGGAACATGTGATAAGAGACAGTGGGTTTGTGGGAAGATAAATTAACATGGGAACATATGATAAGAGATAGTGGATTTGTGGGAAGATAAATTATCATGGGAACATGTGATAAGAGACAGTGGGTTTGTGGGAAGATAAATTCCATGGTAGTAGATAGTTACCATCGTTACACTAATTTTGACGTGTATGATGATTATTTGTTATAAAGTATAATTATTTTACAGTGCCAAGAAAATAAGCAATTTAATTTTGATTCATACATTTAAACACGTTTTCCTCTTGCAATATAAGTAACATCACATCGTTGATGTTCGATCATGGCTGTGTAGAGGTAAAATAAAACTGTAGGTAGCACTTAATAAGAGAATTTTGAGATATGTTAAACACTACTTTTATTTTACCTAGAGCATTGGAAGTAGGGGAATAGGGGATTGTATGGTTGTAAAAGCCATGAGCCTATGAGCTGGTATATTTTTTGTGAAATTTCCCTCTAGGGAAATAGCTATCATCGTAGTAGGTGGCACGGTAAAACCTAGGCCCGGGAGTCCCGGGCTGGGACTTATTTACTTTTTCATTTTGATGTCTCCAGAGGCCAAAAAAGGCTATTTGTACAAATGTTGATATATAGATTCCATCCATGAACACGATAACTTGAGTAATTTTTGTCCGATTTTAATAAAATTTGGTTTGAAGGTGTTGGGCAGGAGAAACTTGAATGAGTTTGTGAACCAGCGTGATTGGACCATGGAAACGGGATTTGATGGGGTAAAAATTAGTTTTTCTTATTTTTCACCCTCAAAACATAAAATTTCCTAATTACTCTCTAAACAAATTTGAAAAGTTAAAAAAAATTATTTAGTATATTGTAATGTTTTTGTACGGTCATTGATTCTGAAAATTATTTAAAAATTGTTATGTTATTCTTATGGAGAATAAGTAAACTGTTGTAGTTTGCTTGTTTATGCATATTATTTGGATCAAACTTGACACATTAATAATTTTAACTAAGTTATTAATGTTATATATACACATACACACACATTCCTGATCAAAGTTATTGGTGATTTGAATTCAAACGGTTGGCTACACAGCCTGTTTATGCTAGGTTTCTCACTTGTGTTTTGTGACTGTTGTTGTATTAAAATGTGAATAAATAGCTGATGTCACCTGTCAGGCTGTCTGCCATATCTTATGGGGCGTTTGGCGCTAGACAACACTACTTGTTGCAACGTTGCCATTGTTGCCAATTCTACAAGGGTGAGGCCTGGAGTTAAGGTGGCAGTGGAAAAAGTCCATCCAAGAAGAAAAATACAGGCTATTGTAGGGGAAACTATCACGAAAGTGATGAAAAACTAGAGGAAGGGTCCTATGATGTTCAATGATTCATCAGAAGGACTCCATAGGACGTTATTTTCCATCCTTTAAATAATCTGGATTAGAAACAGTACCACTGTTGTTAATAAAACCTTCTCCAAAATTGGCCAAATTAGTTAACTCAGAAATGTAAATAAATAAGAGTTATGTTGTAAATCATTGAAGTATATTTATTTCAAATCCAATCATGGTTTTTTGGGCCACCCAGTATGACATTTAAAAAATCATATTCATATATATTCATTGGCCTTCATCATTGACCCTCTAGTAGAGGAAGTAGATTTGTATTGGACGGTTTGCAAATTCATTTAGAACTCTTAGACATGAAACAAGTTTAAAGTCATCGGATGCTAAAAGTTTACAATCCTTTAGCTCTAAAGATTGTCTTCCTTAGCTATTCCCAGAATGTGGTCTATTTTTGGTACGTTTTGAAACTTTAAAGAAACCATTGGCCATGAAATAAAAGTGGTTTTATAATCAATGGGATAGTGCACTCTGTCTGACATAGGACAAAAGACTGCATTACAGGAATCCAACTTTAGTTCACCATGCTACCCAAAAAAGTATAACAGCTGTTTTATTTCTACGCTCATTCTTCTTCTCCATTCCATATCCATTTCTATGTGTTCCGGAATCCGGACACTCGGACAGTCGGACTCCGACACTGTCTCTCTGTCTAGTGTCTCTTCTCTGTCTCTGTCGTCTGTCTGTCTGTGAGTGTGAATAAATGACTCCGGCCTCCTGCATGTTTTCATTATTTCTTAACCCCAAAAATAATCAAAATTAAAAATTTGTTTGGAGCACCTATAAAATAAATAACAGTGTCTCTTTCGGCACTCACATTTATACTTAACTGCAATGTAAACTTTTTTAGTATAAGATAAAACTTAAAACTGTTTCCCTAGATTCTTTTTAAACTTTGAGGTTAGGGTTTAGGTAGGTTCCTAACCTTGTCAATACTTTTGATAGGACAGGACCTGGTGCAGACGATTTAAACGATTCCCTTAGAAATAAGCTACTGTTAAATATATTTGGCAAAGTAGGCCTAACCCAATAAGTACTACTACTTGATTTCTTAACAATGGGCAAAGTAAAGCCAAGGCACAAGAATAACAGAAAACATCAAACACATCCTACTGGACTCCCAAGCGTGAAAGATGCAGAAATGGAAGAAGCTGAACTAGGATCATCTAAGGATGATACCCTAGTTCTAAACATCATTGAAGAGGTAAGTTACCCAATCAATTTTTATTATAGGACTAATTTAATGTGTAAGTTAGGCCTAGGCCTAGGCCTAAGTTTAGTGTATGGGCCGGGGCCATGATACCCTTACCCATGACCATTAAGTTACTCTTACCTATTGGTCATCATTCTTTTAAGAAGGTGAACCTGTTTTTAGGACTTTGTTATTTAGCGTAATGTAAGTTATGATTGATTTTAAATGTAGCCTAGGTATTAAGTTTAAAATAATGTGTAGGTGTAGGGATACCACTTGAATAAATACGTAAGCAAAGGGTAAATTAACTTACACATTTTATGGCCCGGGACAGTGGTTATTTAAACATCAAGAAGTAGGAAAGCTAAGCTAGCTTAACTTAAGTTACTCAAATGATTTTATAAAGTAGGTAGGACCTTTAACACTAGTGTGAACCTGGCAATAACTCAGCAGTAAGTAGTGCGCGCGCCTGATGAAATCTATCGCTGGCCGTTTTGCGGAAAATACGGCCGCGTAGGTTATTACCGATAATATCACCTGATAGAGGACACACTAACGGACACGACAGTATCAATATCATGTACCTGGGGATAAGTAAGGGGGGGTAAAGTCAGCAATAAGTAGTGCGCACGCCTTATAAAATCTATTGCTGGCCATTTGCGGAAAAATATGTATATTTTTATAAATATAAATATTTATTGCACTAAGTTACTTTCTTGCCTACCCGGCCGTATTTTTCCGCAAAACGGCCAGCAATAGATTTTATAAGGCGCGCACACTACTTATTGCTGGACTTTAACCCCCCCTACTTATCCACCCGGTACATGACATTGATACCGTCCTCTCTGTTAGTGTGTCCTCTATCAGGTGACATTATCGGTAATAACCTACTCGGCCGTATTTATACGCAAAACGGCTAGCAATAGATTTTATAAGGCTCGCGCACTACTTATTGCTGAGTTATTGCCAGGTTCACACAAGTCTTTAATAACTTGACCTTAATAGGCCAATCTCAAATTTGTTGCAATTCCCTTTAGCTTAAATCCCCATGAATCACAACGTTCAAGTAACTTGTACCATTTTACTTAAAATGTCTTTTAAACCAGTACAAATTTTGTCGTGTTCTTGGATAGTTGTATTCACACAGAAATTTAACTATGCAGGTTTTGGTTCTTGTAAATAATCAATTAGTCTTTTAGATTTAATTCCTATTTATTGAATTCTTCCTCTCTGGTAGTTGAACCCTAAAAACAAAAGATATATTTAATTGCCTGAAGGGCCAAAGTAAATTCTTACATGAAGCTGAAAATTATTAAATAAAAAGACCACTGCCTGCCTGCACCCTCCGTACTCACAACAATAAATAAAATAATAGTGTAAAAAATTAAATCTAAGACTTACCCACAAAGGGGACTATGTGCACTAAGCAATTCACACTATAGGCCCTACATAACTACTACCACTGACCAAATGAGACCGAGCCACGTGGTCCGACCCCTTTTATAAGTTTGGTTGTGACGTAGGCACTCTGACTATCTTTTCATAGGATCGAACCATGAACAGCCAATCAGAGAGCTCACGGTGGTTGCAGGCTTACATCACGTTTTGACAAAACTAATAAGTTTACTGCTTTACTAAATGACAAAATTTTAAAATATAAATTCATAAAATTGTTACAAACTTATGTTTACCTCAATAAGTAGGCCTATAGAATATTAATGGTTTATCAGTAATAGGCTCTATAACTCCAATTTTTCTGTTATCGAGCATCAATAACTCCAAGTTTTGCCGTAAGTTACTGTAATAAAATGAAATGAAATGAATGAAATGAAAATCGTCTTTATTCTTGAGCGTTTTTCATATTACAACATATGTTTTTCAAAACAACTCACGTCAACATAAAATGGCAACTTTCAAAGGTTAGGCTAATTAAAAATTAAAATATTTTCTCTATTCCTTTTTATTTTACCATTCTTCAAGCCATTTGTTAGCCTATATATTTTTTATACAACTTTTCACTGTCCAACACCCCTGGCTCAGTCCTGGATGACAATATATTCCAGATTTTAGGGGCAAAATAAGAAAACCCACAACGGTCGGACTCACAGCGCACGCGGGGCATCTCCAGCATGTCATCCTGCCGTGTGCATCGGGATCGCATCTCAGAGCGAGCTCTCAGTCTTACCTTCAGGTACTGAGGTCTCTCCTCTGACAGTACCCTCCGGATGATGCAGGAAGTGCGTAAAAGGCACAGGTCAGCCATAGGCAATAAGCCAAGAGATGTGAGGTCTGATGAAATTCGATCGAATTTTCGCAGATCGCAGACGTACCTGACGCACATGTTTTACACCCTCTGCATATGACTCATGTCTCCCAGTAATAACATTGCCATACACCGGAAGACAGTAATCAAACACAGACAGTACAAGTGCCTGCACAAGCAGAAATTTGGTGGGTTTGGGGAACAAGTCACAATGCCTTTACAGCATTCTCAGACGACCTATTGCTCTCTGGCATGCGTAACTCACATGATCAGAAAAGGAGAGCTCAGGATCGAAACTAGGTCCAAGAAGCTTATGAGCTTTACACTCTTTGAGCGGAATTCCACCAAGGCATACACCAGACAGGGGCTCGGACCGAACAGCCCTGCTGACAGAAAAAGTCACCAAGGAACATTTGTCTCTGTTCAGTTAGATGCCATAGGACATAGACCATGCAAAGACAGAATCCAAATCAGAATTGAAATCAGAGACTCCCTGATTTGCTGGGTCAGCGTCATGCTGAAAAGCCAGCTGAGCATCATCAGCGTATGAATACAACTGACAATGACGCAAATCTCTTCCCATATATGCAGCAAACAAAGTAAACAGGACAGGTCCAAGACAGCTGCCCTGTGGGACTCCTTTAGACTTTTCCAAGGGGGTGGGGATCTCAGATCCAACTTTGGTCTTTTGGCATCTTCCGTTCAAGTAGGAGTGAAACCACGACACTACCTGCTGGTCAAATCTGTAGTGATATATCATGGCCTACAGTAGATCGTGATCAATACAGTGCAAGTCAACTGTTTGGTCTGCTAACTTAGTTACCTATAGTCCTCGCCACCCTAAGTTGAGGCAGCCAAAGGCCTCACTAGATATACGCCGTGCGGCCTTGGGCTGCCTCAACTTAGGGTGGCGACGACTATAGGTACCGGTATTGATATGGTACCTATTTAGGACAATGAATATTTATTATTGGGCAGTAGCCCATTAATATTTTACAGGATTCTGAAATAACATTGTCAACTTATTTCAGGTGCAATCATTAAATATTGAAGAAAGGTTAAACGGACTTCGCTCCCTAGCAGATTTGGCTGAAAGCTCAGAATCAGTAGAGACGATTGTTAAATACAAAATCTTAAAAATAATAGCCCCGTTGTTGGTTGACAAAAGTTCTGAAGTACGAAATATAACTGCTGGAATTTTAAGGTTTGTATAAAGCTTCATGTCTATTGTTAAAAACATGATCGATAGTAGGCTACCTACTGTAATACATTATTGTTATCTAATTTGTATATATATGGAACTGAAAAAAAATAAAATTACATAACTTGTAAGACAAGATTCTAATTATAAAGCCTACCGGTACTTACAATTTAAAAATAAAACCTTGACTTAAGAAGACAGATAGCGAGTACTATCACTAAAACCTATTGTATAATCAGGCAAAGTCATTTTCAATTGATTGAGAAATGCTTGCTGTTTGTTTCTAAAGAGTGACTGGAAAAATTAATTAAATTAGCTGCTCTTAAATTTTAAAGTCCTTTATAACTTTAACAATATAAAGCGTAGGCCTACTATTATGGTTTTAAGTTGCCAAATTATTCAGAAAATAAAAATTGCAGGTGTCATTGATATTTTGTTGAGTATAATTATTAAGAAAACATTTACTTTTTGTAAATAAAATAAAATAATGGTATATTCCCCTTGTTGAACTTGAAATCTAATTATACATTTAATTATTTTGTTGAGTATTTAAATTTAGGCTAAGTGCCCTACTTAGTTTATTATGAATGAAAAGGGAGTGTTCGTATTGACAAAAGTTGTGAATGTTTAGGAACCTAAGTGCTACAGGTTCTGCAGACATTTGTGAAAGATTGGTAAAGGATGATATCATGACTCCATTGCTCACTCTTCTACAACAGGTAAATATGATTTTTGACTTTTAATAGTCTTTTAATATTTTAGCTTATAATATGTTGTACATTTCAGTTTGGTGTCACCCATGAATTTTACATGACAGTGCTTTTCATGATGCTGCTTTACATAATACTACATTATGCTTTGCTAATCTAGCCTAACCTGATCAAGCATGTAAAATAAAATTAGTTTGTGAAAAATGGATAAGCTCTATTAAAGGAATTAAAATTTTGGCTCAATACAATATTTTTAATGCTTTTGAACTGCTCAACTCCCGATAAAATAAATCAACATAAGCTGGATCTAGGGATGCTTGTAAAGCTCCCTAGTTTTAGTTTTGACAACTTGAAACATTCTTTGTTTGAAATTCATTGTAGGTGATGGTGAGTTAATGTTGTTCAAAGGTTTATTGCGGATATTTTCCATCATGTTTTCCATCACGATTGTAAAAAACAATACACAACGTTTCGGGATCTGGAATCTGACTTGAAAAACATGTAACTGCAGTCACTGTGGATCTATAAAGTATTATGACTATCGTTATGCTATGTTAGAGTTATGTCAAAAATATGTATTGCTAATCATAAATCAATTGAACAGTACAACGACTGGAAACCAGAATCAAAGACGGAGAACTCAGACACACTATTGCAAGCTGTTAACATCATTTGGAATCTCTGGTAAGATGATCATGATTTGTTAATAAGTATCTAGATGGTAGCCAGTTTGTTAAAATTAATCAAACAACAATTGATAGCTAAAAAAAGTATTTATGTGTTTTTCATAGGTTTTAGCATTCTAAAAAGAATTTTGTAGAACACTGTGGGCTGTGGTTCAAAGAATCAGTTTATTATGTTATTTTTAATGTTATTATTATGTTTTTTTTTTTTTTTTTTTTTTTTTTTTTTTCTCCAATCTCCAGTGGTTGAAAAAGTGGTCAGTGACCACGAAAATTTCTACTTTTAATTTTGTGATGTGTTATGTGTCTCTATGGACTTATTTAAAGGTAAGCCTGCTTTCCTGTCAATTTCCTTAATAATTATTATGTTATAAAGTTTGTTTCAGCTGTTATTATTCCTTGTTAGATATTTATGTGTTTGTTGAATGTTTGTAATCTGAAAGTATATACTCACAAGCTGCTATACCCGTGCTTTGCAACGGGAAAAAAAGTGACCTAGAGAGCTATTAAAGTGGTGCTGATGTGCGTTTTAAAATACAGCAACTCTATGATTTAGTTTGAAAATATAAACTGATATATAAGCGTAAACCTACTAACTTTCAAACCCCTACTTTTGATGTTAATAGATCCCTAAGAATATGACAACATACCTTAGTGTAGCAATAGCATCAATTGCTTCATACTGATGCTTCATGAATGGCATGTTTTACTATAATTCTTCAATTTTAGTCAAGCCTCTTCACATGTAGCTTACTATATAATTAAAAAATGAAACTTTGAGCAACACTTTACAAAACGTATACAACCTCACTTTAAAACCAAACATAACCCTCCTCACTTTAAAACCAAACATAACCCTCCTCAATCTACATAAAGCGTCACAAACATATTTTTCAAGTAAATAAACAAACACCAGTTCATTGTACTGACCAGCTGTTTCATTAACTAAATTAAATTAAATCATTTAAACATTGGAAGCATGCCAGGCTTAGCCCTTTGGAAATCAGCCTGTGGGGCAGAGCCCTTAGGAAATTAGTCCATATCAATATTTTTCGGCAAATCTACACACTCTAAGCTTCATTTTGATGTGCCATATGCCTATATTTTTATTTGGTAAATGACCTTAACCGTTTACATAAAGTTTTATTGTATCACTTTAATAATATAATAAATGTTAAATAATTTTAAGAAGATTCCTTGCATATTTACACTTGTTCTTATTTTTTAATTTAATTTATTTTTCTACAGTTTTTTTTGCCCCTTCAATATTTAAATTGTTTGTAATCATGTAAAATGGTTATAAGCCAAATTTGTTACTGTTTAAGAAGTAGGAAATATATTTTTGTACAGTAATAATTCACACTGACTCAAGATCAAGATAAAGATGGAAAAGACAATTAGTATATATAAGAAACACTGCAGACATCCTTTTTTTAAGGCTTATGCAGTTTTGTATTATAAATTCATTGTATAGGCTATGTGCTGTACCAAGTAATAAATAAATAAAATAAATCTTGAATTTAATAAAAAATAATGGTGTATTCTAAAAAGATAACCTTTCTGCTTATTTTGGTGGAATGAAAACAATTTATTGGGAGTTTAGTCAACAGATTGGATCTATTGGCCTCTTTATTAAGACTATTTTTACAGTGTGTGTAGGTCATATTCAAAAGAAGTAAATCTTAAGGGCCCTTTCACACGAGGCCACTGGTGGCGGCCACCGGTGTCCGCCAGCAGTTACCGGCCAGGAAACTGCAGTGGATGATACAGGCAACTTACAAGCCACTTTACTACAGCTACTGTACAATGGTAGTTGTGAAAATGCTGTCGAACAATGAACATCTCCTTCTTCTCGCGTTGATAATAAATAAAATAAGGCAAAGACACAGGCGTGCTATACCAAATTGCCGGTTACTTTTCAATTTTGCAAATAAGATCTTCAGTATCAACTTTGGTTTCTATTATTTTGTTTATTCTCTTATTCTGTTGTTTTCCTTTGTCTTTTTATTTTTCAGCAACATCCTCTTTATTTTTCTTCTGATCACTCATTTTCACAAACAAACAATTCAACACGAAAACACACAACAACTACCATAGTGGTATGACGAAATTTCGGGTTGAGAGACAAAATTCGATTTTAAAGTATGTAATTGTCGTCTCACCTGAAATTCTGTCACACCTTAAATCTGTCCAGATAGCTTAGCCTACTATGAGATAGTCCAGGACTCTAACGTGTTCGTTAATTAATTATCGTTTTGAGTTTATTGGCTCAGAATATTAATTACAATAATAATGCTTACAATGTTAAGCTTACCTTTAACAAGTGCTCATCATAGCCACTCGAAAAACATTTGAAGTTAAATTTAGAATTTTGAACAGCCTATCGTGAATGCGAATAAGCCTAATCAATTGGAAACTTAACTAAAACGTGATTCGGTCGTTATACTTGGTAATCACCAAAGTAAACGTGTCGGGAAAATTAGACTAGGTCGATCATCAGAGTAGATACGGGGTTTCTTAGATTAAATTTACGTAAGACGGTTCGGGGTAACGGAATAAATGCTACGGATATCGTTCTGGTAACTTAAATGATTTCCGAAGCTGGCTTAAGACAAAAGGTAGTGTGCTCGTTCGTGGAAAAGCGTGCGGGGTGCGCGCGACTGCGGCACAATAAAATAAAAGTAATAAAACTTCTCTAAAATGAGATTAAACCAAATAAATTCGGTAGCACACTAACCTGATGCCTTAGAATTCTACCAGGAACGGGGGAAATCTTTAATTGACCGGAATTTCGTAAGTTAGGACTGTTGGATTTATCTCCAAACAGCTGGCGTACTGACGGTTCGGTAGCGGGTGGACAACTGACCATGAGGTCTGCTCTTCTGGTCCTTCTTCGCCATCGCTCCTGGCGGCGGGGTAGGTAACTAACTATCCCCTCTACGATGACGTAGGACCCCTGCCCCTACGATGCCGCTGACAACGCGAGCGCGGCTTACCTCGAACGTAGAACATTATTATATCATAAAATAAAAATCGGGTTTTTTACCCCTTGACGGGTTTTGGGTCGTTACAGTGGGTTTGTCTTTGCAGTCTGCAGGTGAACTGATTCAAAATAGTAGCTGCGCGCTCATCCACAGTGGCGGCCACTGGTTGCTACGTGTGAAAGCTCCCATTTAATTCAATGCCCCGCAACGAGTTGCCGCCACTGCAGTTGCCGGCGGTTGCCGACTAGCAGTTGCGCGAGGAGACACTGCTCGGCCACTGTGTAGTGGCGGGCAACTACAGTGGCTGCGTGTGAAAGGTCCCATTTAAAATATTGTTAAAGCTGTGGCGGGCAACCAGTGGCGGCCACCGGTGGCCTCGTGTGAAAGGGCCCTAAGGGAAAGCCTAGATATCTCTGAACACACAACATTAGGGTTGGAAATAACATAGGGCGTAATTAAGTGCAAAACAACCATAACATCCCATTTAAAACTTCTCTTTTTCGCAGTGAATCTGACGAAACAGCTTTGAAATATTTTAACTCAGCGAATGTTTTGAACATTTTACTGAGATGTCTGGACTACAAAACAGTGGGGCTTGACCTCTCAATTGCAGTTTGTAAGTAGCCTAAAACAAAAATATAAGAGTTAATGTGTTATATTTCTTCTTCATTAAGTTAGCGTGTTGTACACATACATACATATTCTCTTCTGTTTTGGTTATTTCTGGGTCTAGACATCAACTGGCCTCTATGTCTTTTTTCTATCTCTTAGTTCCTCTTCTTCTATTTCCAGCCATTTTATTTCTGTCTTTTCATCCTTTTTCAACGTCTATCCCACTCCCTGGTCTTCATCTTGGCTTCCTTCTGTCTATCACCCTTAGCTTAATTTTCCAATGAGTTCTTTAGTTAGCATATTGTTTGATGATAAAATATTTCACATCCACTTAGTAAGTAGGCATATTCAACCAGGATATAACATCATTTACATTGTTTTAAAACTTAAATTGACACTCAACTGTCTTATAAAAATAATCACAGAGTTTACTGTTGGTTTGCAAGCTGAAATCCTTCCCTACAACTATATGACATGATTTATTTTGTATTATACGATGGAATGAGGGACACATGAATATTATAATGTAAACAGTCTTGGCATTGGTTGAGATTTCTTTTGACTATGGTATGGACTCATCTTAAATTTGACTTAAGTACCCAAAGGAAGGATGGAAAATAAAGCACAAAGGCGTAGACAAAGGATATTTGTGTGGAAAGCTGGTTTACCTTGAGGAAAGAGGACCCGAGAAACACAACACCAGACAGTATACTCAAAACATTAATTATTTCAATATCATTCCTGACCAACAATAGACCTGAAGAGAAGACATCCCTCTTCCAATTAAAAATTGTTGGTTTAAATTAAAATACTTTCAGTAATTTAAAGACAAGGCTGGGTGAAGGATGAAGGTTGAATGAATGAGATGATAGCTTTGTTACCTACTAATATCAGTTAGCTATTTAGGTCTCAATGATTAAGGACAGCTGGGCCCAGTTTCAAAAAAATTAAAGGTATAGACTTCAAAATTGTACCAGTAACCTTCCAATTATTTGGCTGCACACTATATCGACTCAGCTAAGTTGAAAACCTAAAAAAAAAGAGAATATATCATAAGCAAATCTATAGGCCGATTTTAGTATTTTATTAATTTTAGGTGATATGAAAATTTTGGTTATACAGATTCTTTCTCGCTCGGATTATCTAAAGTCAAATATATGTTGTTATCATTGTGTATATTTAAATAAAGCAGCTTGAATATTCTGTAAATAATTATTTAAGTTTAACTGTGTATAACAAGAAATATATTTTGACCTGACATTTTCTTTATTGTGTCAAGGCCAATGCTTGAATTCTGTTTGTGAAGAAAACACATCAGTTCTGTCAGTCCTGCGTAGTTACGAGTCAGATCTTCTCACTCTGTTGTCAATCTGCGCAACAGACAACAAGATGATTCTGCTCAAGACTTTGGCTGCTGGTAATGTTCGTCTTTTGCTTGTAGACATTATTGTGTATCACACAAATAATTTACTTAAAAACCACCAATACATTGTATTATATTTTATTAAAGAAAGCACATTTAGAAAATTGCATAGTGATTGAAAGGACAACGAATAATTGTAAACAGTAGCACGCTTTATGTCACATTGACTATCACAGCCCACAAAAAACTTAGAAGGAAAATATAATTTTACAGTAGTATACTGTGTGCGTGGCTTATTCAACTTTCAACTAGCATAGATCTCCTTTTCAATAACAAATCTGATTCATATAGACAGAATGTCTGCTGTAGTAAACATTTCTTCTTTTCTTTGTCACTAGCAAAGTGCCCAAGAACAATGAAATATTTGAATTTTGTGTTTTTCATGTTTCTTTTAAATGTGTTTCCTATTGCGTAGGCTAGTCACCAAAATGCTAGTTTAGTATGTATATGTAAGCATTCTTGCTATCAAAAACAAAATCAAGCCAATTTCAACACCTAAAAATTATCTGTAAGTGATAAGATTTAATTGTACTGTGACAATACTTTCTACTACAGTAGACTCTTGCTCATCCGGACTAATGTGGCGGACGTCTGGTCCGGATTACGAAAAATCTGGACTACAGTATCGAGAGTCGAGCAAATACACAGTACTGTATATAGCCGTTTTTCAATTTAAATACACAGTAATGATAGCCCGGGGGATATGCACTTCCACCGGTAATTATCTTTTCGGCCGAATTTTGTTCCAGGTCCACAGTAATGATAGCCCGGGCATATGCACTTCCACCGGTAATAATTGTTTCGGCCGAATTTTGTTCCAGGTCCACAGTAATGATAGCCCGGGCATATGCACTTCCACCGGTATAATTGTTTCGTCCGAATTTTGTTCCAGGTCCACAGTAATGATAGCCCGGGCATATGCACCGATTTTTTTCATTATTCAAGGTAGTCTCGGTCCCGTTTCGCTTGGATAATCGGACTTCTACAGTACTGTGCTGCTAAAAAAAATCACGATTGCCGATCCGGACTGCCGGGAGTCCGGACAAGGCCGATCCGGATGAGCGAGAGCCTACTGTACCGAAATCTTTATTTTATTTATTTTTATTTATTTACTACATGTCATTAAATCATTTTTTGACAGGACATAAAGTCATATACAGGATATACTAAAACTAAGAAATAACAAAAATGTCTTACTAAATTATTAATCTAACTTAACGTCCCTATTTAAATAACATTCTATAGAAAAAATTTTTTTTGTTTTTAACCAGGTCTTCAGGGTGGATCTGAACTGTGTTTTACTATCAATATTTTTTATGCGGAGTGGTAACTTATTGTAAACTTGTGGGCCTATATATTGGGGAGATAAATGAAATTTCTCTAATCTATGGGTTTCAGGCTTAATATAACTCTTAAATCTAGTGTGGTCAGGCCCACTTTTATAAACGGGCAGACTGGGCATATGCCCAGGGGCGCTGGTGGTTTGGGGGCGCCCACTGGGAGCCCCCAAACCACCACCTGCCAGCACTAGGAAAAAAGGGGGGCGCTGCTCTTGGGTTTGCCCAGGGCTCCACTGACCCTTAACGCAGCCCTGAGTGTGGTGGGAATGAATGGGTTGGTTCATGAATGAGGAGAGATTGTCTTTAACCCAATTTGAAATTTCTAAAATAAGTGATCATAAAATGTTAAAACCGAAAATGTTTGAAAAAGACTTTTACAAGGAGTTCTACGAGGAACTCGCCCAATAATTCTAATTGCTTTTTGTTGAAGTTTGAATATTTTGTTGGAGTGGCATGAGTTTCCTTCACTTCATTCAACCAACAAAATGATTACCTTTGTCTACCAGGCATTGTTGTCAATCTGAACCCATCCGCTCCTTGGCTAGCTTCAGTGTTGGCAGTGACAGCTGAGTCCTTGGAGAAAGACTTGCGAACCTCAGTGAACCAGCTGTCTAGTCAACTTCCCCTGGACTCTGCCGCTCTCTCTAGTGAAGTGGCAACACTGGTGGAGCAAACTGAGGCGCTCACATTGGCTCAGACCATGGCACTGGAGACTCTAGCTAACCTGTCCTCAGATCAGGGTAAGACAGTTACCTGGACAGGGAAATAAGCTAAGGATCTGGGGAATTGTTTTAGGGTTAGGCAAAGATAGAGGAATTGGCTAGGATCAGGGGAAGTCAATGAAATTGGTTAATAGTGGGGTCGTATAGCTGCATATGATGGCAGAATATTTCAGTTCTGGCAGAGAGGCTGCAATTTTAGGTGGTTATAGTATACAAGTTTCTGAACCTAAAACCGCCCAGACCCCAATTTTTAAGGACCTCGGTCGTCCGTAATGACGTCATCAAAATGGCGGCCGTAAGAGGATGCTGGGTCCCCATGAATTGGCTATAATGACCGAATGCCTGAACCGATTTTCATGAAATTTGGCACACAAGTGCTTGAATACATTATCTAGGCCTGGGTTGAAAATTGTCAAGTTTCATAAAGTCATTTCAAAATGGTGGCTGTTCAAAACTACAAAAATATGAGGAAAATAATTGTGAATTGTTTTATACAGGGTGAGTTTCAAATGAGTTCCCCCCCTACTTTTTTATACATTTCCTAGATATCAACTCCGAACCAGGTCAGATAATTGTAGAGTAGCGAGTACTTCATTTTGACTTGGTTTTATTTTATCCGTTTTTTGTTATCAAGCTTTCTTGATAAAATATAACAATTATTTTGATTTAAAATGTAAATATTTCAAAAACCAAATATGACAATGAAAAACGGATTGCGGCATTGAATTCAACATAAAAAAGTAGTTCACAATGATGGGTCACAACACCATCTTCATATTTAAAATCATTTATCCCACTTCAAAATGGCGGATCCAAGATGGCGGCTGAAAAAAATACATCCGTCATAACTGGGTGAAAATAGGTCAACAATGAATGGTGGTGTCCACTTATCTTTATCTAGCACTATTTTGAGATTATGGCCTTAGTTTGTAAATGCACAATGTTATAATGGACTAAAAATAAAGTTATAAAAAGTTCTCATAACTTTAGAATGGATCAACATTTCTTTAAACGGATTACAGCATCGTATTCAGCGTAAAAGTCTTGTTTGAAACGGTGGGTCACAACCCTACCTTTAAATAAAAAAAAAAATAACTTTTTATCCAAAATGGCGGATCCAAGATGGCGGCCAAAAATTTAAACCCAGTCAAAATGAAGTACTTGCTACACTAGAATGATCTGACATGGTTTAAAGTTGATATCTTAAGAAATGTATAAAAAAGTAGAGGGGGAACTCATTTAAAACTCACCCTGTATAAAACAATTCACAATTATTTTCCTCATATTTTTTTAGTTTTGAACAGCCACCATTTTGAAATGACTTTATGAAACTTGACAATATTCAACCCAGGCCTAGATAATGTATTCAAGCACTTGTGTGCCAAATTTCATGAAAATCGGTTCAGGCATTCGGTCATTATAGCCAATTCATGGGGACCCAGCATCCTCTTACGGCCGCCATTTTGATGACGTCATTACGGACGACCGAGGTCCTTAAAAATTGGGGTCTGGGCGGTTTTAGGTTCAGAAACTTGTATACTATAACCACCTAAAATTGCAGCCTCTCTGCCAGAACTGAAATATTTTCATGCTACCCAACCTGACTATAATGGAAAAGAGTAAGTCACGAAAGCTGGAATGGGGATGGTTAGAGGAAATCTGGAAAATTTGCTGAGAGTAAGAGAAATTGTTTGGGGGCTAGAAAATGACTAAAAATATGAACATATGCTTCTCTATACTATGATTTTTTGAAACATTGCTTGGTTTCACTAGAGTTTTCCTCTAAAAAATTTTTTTTTATAAAAAATTAAAATGTTGTGCATCAATTATATTTTTAATAAACTGTATGCCCATTTAATACATGCACCCACTTTACTTCTATTTTGTAATACATTCTCAACTTAAATAAATACATGGCATAATACCCCCGCCGCAGCAAACCTGCAGACTAAGCGGATTTTCATTTGACTGATTGGATTTACACTGAAATGTCTACTTAAAAATATTACATTTATTCCCCATTTAAATAGAATTAGTTTAACAAGTACTTATGTTTGCTGCATCAGGGAGGGTAAAACTGTTTTTTTATTTTGTAAAATGTAATAGTTAGTAAAAATAAAAACATTTTCCAAATTTATCAAAATATGTTCATAAACAAGCAAACTACAACAGTTTACTTATTCTCCATAAGAATAACATGGGAATTTTAAATTTACAATTTTTTGGAATTTTCTCCGTAACCATTAGGCGCATAATAACGCTTCAATATACTAATTTATTTGTTTTTTTAAGCTCTACAATATGGTTTGAAAAGAAATTGCTAAATTTTATGTTTTTTGGGTCAAAAATGGGAAAAACCTATTTTTACCCCATAAAACCCCCCCGTAAACCCCTGTTCCCATGGTCCGATCATGCTGGATTGCGAACTCGTTCGAATAAACGTAGGTTTACACGTTTGTACCAAATTTAATCAAAATCGGATCATTTTTGCTTGAGTTATCGTGCTAACGGACACATATATATATATATATATATATAAATATATAAATATATAAATATATATACACGGCCGCGCCCGGGAAGCCAGTCACATAAAATATACACTGGAAGTCAGTCAGTTGCACCCCCCAATATATTTCAAGACTATGATATATATATAATATATGTTGGTAAATATCTTAAGCCTAGACATATCTGAACGTATATATCTCTTTTTTTCTTAAAAATACTAAAATATAATTACGTAAAAAATGCTATGCTAATGCAGTCACCACCGCATTTGCATGGGAAAGCCAGTCACGTAAAATTTGTGCTGCTAAGCCAGTCACTATATATTTTACCGCATACCACTGGAATCCAGTCACTGAAAATCCACCCGGGTATCCCGTCACTTCAGTCACTTTCACCCCTGCCCTTCTACTTTGTGATATTTATTTGTTCTACAAGCTTGAAAATCCGCACCTCAAACAAATGGATTATGCTTCAGGCATTGAGCACTCTCATAACCCATCTTTCGCACTTCATTTTAATTAATTGTCTTCTAGATTACTTAACAATTACTATTCTACAGATTAAATACCTAAATGTCAATGTAATCTTTGGTCGTCTTAATAGTCGTCCTGGCAACTGTGGATACAAATATGTACCGTACTAATTCGCAAGCGTAAGGTGGGAAGTTATTCCTTTATAGTCGCACAATTAGGCCTATTGTTGAGTCCTTGGAGGCAAGCGGCCATCTTGGATGATTTCAAAAAGCTGCAAAATTTATCGTCCAAAAATATTTTTCAAACACCAAAGTGTTTATAATTTAAATAGCTAGTATACTGTGGGATTAGAAATGTTCTTTGTAGTTTTGAATTATTCTCCAAGGGAGTCCATAAAATAAGTTAACGGTCACGGTCATCTTGGAAAAAGGGGTCGCCGGAATTGTACCCCCCTGGAATTGTACCCCCCAGCGATCGTTGACGTCATTTTGACGTCACGCTTAGAGGGGGTACAATTCCACCCCGTACACTTTGATTTTAACGAAATCTAATCAATTTAATGTGGGCAAGTGATCAGTGAACCGGATAGTTAAATTAGATATTAAAAAGAGCAGGAGATGTACGGCCCGGAATTGTACCCTCCTGGAATTGTACCCCCCGGAATTGTACCCCCTGCCAACATAAAAATATTTACGTACGGGGTGGAATTGTACCCCCCTGGAATTGTACACCCCATCAGAAAGCCAAATGTGTACGGGGTGGAATTGTACCCCCCGGAATTGTACCCCCCTCTTGGAGAGCTAGCTTGGCTTGTGTACGGGCTGGAATTGTACCCCCCACCCACTCGATAAACCTACTGTAATTGGTATTATGAAAATGAAGTAGTAGAGAATGCCTTCTACAGTGACATATGTTGGATTTTCAAACCTGTACAGAATATAGTGATTGTACCAAGGAACTATAATTGTGAAGAGATAATCCAAAAATCTGGTTTCGCCACTTTACTTCGCCTTGTGCTATATGCATATTTTATTAATTTTCTTTAAACAATGAAAAACTTGAATGCATTATTGCATAGTTTGTTTTTACTGTAATACTTTGTATACACTATTATCTAATAACATAAAACCTGATCATAAAATTTAACTTTTAATCTCCTTCAAACTTTGAAAATAAGACGAAACCACAATCACAGTACACATCATAGGTCAACCCTTTTTTTAAGAGGCTATTAAGCAAATAGTAATGCAGGCCCGAAGATATAGGGATTATTGTAAGAGCCATGACCTTCGGTAATGATTCTTCGTAAAGCAACAAATCGCTCACAAGTAAGTGAGTGACAAGGTTTCCGGTCATCTCAGAACCGATTTGGTCAAAAATGCACCGAATTCCCGCACTGCGTACTCATTACACAAGCATTCAGCCATTGGTGACATGGTTGTGACACAAGCACAGGAAAAAAGTGCTCAACTATATACAATGAAAATTAATGTCTACATACATACATACATACATTAAATGTGAGTAAAATGTAAGTGGGTGTCATTGTGTTAAATGCGCATGCTATTTTTTAAATTATTGCTTAAGTGTACGTATTATGGTACGTATTAATTTGAGGTTAGCTTGTATCACAATAATTATGTTACACATATTATCCAACCCCATACTAAGTCTTCTAGGCTACTCTGTTTATTTATTATATAAACAATTGCTGTAATGTGTTTAAGAGTGATAGTGGAACATTAAATTTTGTACCTATATTGTTAACGTTATAAGTAGTTTACATTGTTATTATTTTGTATTAAATTGGTTTAATAAATTTATTTCATTACGATAGATAGATAGATAGATCGATTGAGGGATAGATAGAAGGATGAATAGATAGTTAGATGGGTGGATAGATAAATGGATAGATTATCTGTGAATAATATAGTTAACGTAGCCGTTATTGTACAGAACGTCTTCTTCAAGTTTGTTTAGAAGTTTTTGATTTATTATCCTGGCTTTCGTCCAAGTACACATCATACAGATATTAGTAACATTGAATATTTATTGTAAACATA